AAAAACTATTCAAATTAAAATAAATAATATCGACTACTTTCTCACAGTTGTATAGATCTTAGTGCTTCTTTGGTCATTACTGAACTAAAGAAACTCAATAATCAATAAAATTACGTGAGCTTAAATAACCATGTAAATATTTTATAATAATTACTCGTATTAAAGAGAATAGATATAATCTTTCTTAAGAAGTATGAACAAACTACTTACATACCTAATATGATTAATTTCGAATGTACTGCCAATATAAATTGTTAAAATATGAATAATTTCTATGCCACTTATTAAATTAAACCGATTTCAAATAATTTGACTTTTGTTCGTTTGGATTTAAAATCTGGATTCACACATGGTTTTTGTGTTATAACAAGTTGCCAAATACTAAACTATTTTTAAGTAGGTGCCTACATATTTTTTAATACTATTCACTTTTATCCTTCGAAGTATATTTTACATAATTATTTAGGTTATGTTTACATCTTTATATAACGCTCATCAAATTAATTTACTATACAGAAACTAAATCGCTACTTACTACATACTAAAAATCTGGGAAATGACCGACAATGAAACTAGTGAAGTTGAAATGCTGAAATCAAGTCAAGCTCATTATCATAATTCTGGTTTTGTTTACATGAGATACCGGAGTATAAATTACTAGAACTGATACAGTATTAAAGCTTGGTTAAACTAATTAAACAAGTTAGCAGATTGTGGTTAACGGGAAGCGTAGTGGTTAATTTAATTATTTTCCGAAATCTAGTTTGGAAATACCTTTTCTGCATTTTACATCCTATATTTTAATTTCGTATTAAATAAGTAGATATTTGGTCGTGTGGTCCCGACATAGAATAGGCCACCCCTTCTTTTTCCGTAGGTATCGTTAAAGACGAGTAAGGGACGGTAAGGGATGGGCAGCAGTGTCCCTCTTAAAATATCTTTAAAGCTTAACTGCGGTTGCCAATCTACCTGCCAAGCTTGACAGCTATTGATAAAACCCACCCAAGGAAGAAACTTATGTTCAGCAGTGGACAGTTAAAAAAGCTGACATTAAGGTAGATATTTAGTTGCATAGTTATATAAATTTTTGTTAATATGGGTGTCTTAAAAAATGGCATAATAATATTCATGGTTGACAACATTATCTACAATGTTGCCAACCATGAAATACAATGTCCATAGTCTACATCATATATATAAATTTTTTTTATTCTGTTCGTTACATAGGTGGTTTAAAAGCAAAAAGAAATTCAATATACTCTAAAGTTAAAAGATTGAAGAAGAGTTAAAGTTAAAAATAGATAATTTGTTATAGGAATCGCTAATAATTTTTCACGGGGTCATCGACTCGAACTCTACGAATAGTCTAAAATTATTGAAAATATGTACATAATATAATATCCTCCAGCACACAGGAAACACAGGCTATATGGGGAAAATCACGTATCGCCACAAAAGTTCCATAACTGAAACTATATAATGACACCCTCAGCTAAGAAACGAAGCTATTTTTATGCATGCATACTATGCTATTTTTTATGCTATTCTTAGTTGTAACTTAGAATGGCAAACGAATTGATGATCTGACTAGATCGAAAATGTTAATTTTCGGTTATACACATGAAGAACACTATAAACATCATAGAATACATTACGACGCCCTTCGCACCTTTCGTACGTTGCCTGCCGAGGCTTTTCCTAGAGACTACGGTACAGGATTCTACAAATTGTGTATATTAAGATTTTTTCAGGGTTAGCAACGCACACGTGACACTCCTAGTGTTACAGCATCTAGCATCTACAGGCTACAGTGACCGTTTACCAATGTATGTTTGTTGCCACCTTCGTGGTATAAAAGAAAACGTTGCTGTGTTTCGGTTTGAAGGGTGGGATATGGCGTGAATTTACTGGGTACAGAGGAATAACATCCGAGTCCTCAGGAATGGCAACGCATGGGGGGTATCATGGGCGAAACAGTATACTCTGTTATGTCCATGGTACTGCTCATGTATATAGGCGACGGTTTCCGCTTTCCATCAGGTAGGCCGTCAGCTTATTTACCATTCTAAAAAAATTGTGTCTCTGTATATCGTAATTTCAATACCATACAGATCATTTATTCGTAATTTATATAATTAATAATCCAGTTTAAATTAATTATGTCATTCTCATTGCAAATTTGTCATATTTTATTCTAATTTCGAGAACTTAAACCATATACCACATTTTTTAAAGCACAGCCATGCAAGCACAAGTGCTTGATGACAGAAATATGCATAAGACAGAGTCACCTATTTAGACAACTTTTGTGCGACATTTGCCTCTGATAAAATATTGGTAATATGATAATAGTATTCGTAACCGAATACCATTATCATATTACATCGTTAGATCGATAACAGCTTTTTAGATTTTCCTTTACTACTTTTGTAATATTATATTTATTTATTTATATATAATATATAAATTTATATATACATATTTTGACCATAGAACGTTATATAATATTAAAACATTAATGGAGAAAAAGAAATTATACCTAACTATATAATATAATTATAATAAACATTATAAATGCAGTTCTACATAATTAGTTACCATTCTGTGAAACTATGTGGCAGTAGAATAAAAAAAGCCCAGTTGTTAACATACAACTACTTCTATGACCAGAAGTAGCGCCCTCGTGAGTAGCGGCTGATCATTATGGAATATCCTATTGTGTGGTAGGGCAAATATAATGAAGGAAGTAAATACCTGGTTAAATGAGACATTAAGGGACCTGTAAATTAATCTCACTTATAGAGGTATTTCACTTACCCAGTGTTTCAGATATCTAGGTATAAATAAATACCTGTCTCATTTACAGAGGTTACAAAAATTAGGAATACCGAGCCTTCGCGCGAAATCCTGTCTCTTTTCTTTAATCATCGATCCACTTGCTCTACTTACCGAAATGTTTTTGTAACGTTTAAGTTGATTGACCCATGTTAGCAAACACTGTATAATAGTAAAACAAAATTAAAGGTCATTGAGGCTCAAAATTAGTTCAGAATTTGCGGGTAGAATAAAAATAAGTAACAAATTTAAATGCAAAATAGCCTCAGTTAGAGAGGTAATAAATTGATGTTTTCTCAGAAAGGGTAATGCATATAAAATTCACTTGCTGTCTCAGTTATAGAGGTAACTAAGATGATAAATCGAAAGAACGAATCCCAGATAAAGAGGTTTGCTTCATCCCACTGACAGAGGTAATTCAGTGCCAAAGTCTTGGGACCTCAGCATGAGTTCCAGTAATGAAGGCTTCTCACTTATTCAGGTCCCACTTAATCAAGTTTTACTTAGTAACTTCTGGGACAGATGTGCTTAAAAGGTTCAAGGTAGACGCAATGTACTTTATTTCCCTAAACAATTAGGGGAATAAAGTACAATGAGTCTGTCTGCATTGCATTGCGTTGTTTCTCTGCTAAAAGTATTTTTAATATAAATAAATAAAAAATACTTTTAGCAAAGAGATAAGTCACCTTACCCCTAAGGAATCCTATCCTATCTGGACTTATGATAAAAGTGCTCGGATATATATGAGGATAACCTACACGATGCCAATATTGTTTACGGTACAACATCTAACAAAGTTTTCCTGTAATTTTTCTGTCGTTTGTGTATATTTGTTTTCATGTGGATTCCAGATGATAGCATTAATTTCGAGCTTACTCCGTACGAAAGCTTTATAAAGAATTCTTTAAGAAAGAAGAATTATTAAAGATTTCTACTTTATCTAAATATTGTGCGTGTCGCAATACAAACCCTAAGGCTCTAAATTATAACTAAATAAAAATTATATCTTTTAAAGAAACTATATAGGAATGTAAGCTAGAAGTACATAATAAAAGAGGTTAAAAATCAAAATACAAAATATAATAATGCCAATTAAAAGGGGTTACTAACCCTTATTATATTTTGTATTTTGAAATTGGAGGTGTATGCCTTAATCGTACGGAGTTCGCTATAATATATTATAAATTTGTGTAACATTAATAAACGAATTACTCTATAAATATTATAAGCTGTATAAAATGTAATAATAAAATATGAAAATTTAATATTTCATTATTTCGTTAATCGCTATATAAATTTTGCGTTTCAAGATAATAAGGAAAAGACTTCTCAGTTGAAAAGTAGATAAAGCTAAGTAATTAATTTCGGTAAATATGGAATAGGTACACGTCGGATGAAGTTTGTATAAACGTTCACTTAGATAAAATTCCATCAGTAAATATAATTAATAAAAATAATTAATTACCTACCAATATCTGTATCCAATCTTGTATAAAAAGTACAAAATCTCATTATAATATAGTTTACGATCGGTCGATCATTACCGGTGTACTCAAGATTAATATTATGTCATAAATAGGAAACTAATCTAATAAATCAATAATAACGTTAGTAGATATTTATTCCGTTTTACACAGATATTTCTCAAGTGTGATTCCAGCACAGAATAGGCCACCCCATCCTTTCCCGTGGGTGTCGTAAGAAGCAACTAAGGGAGGGCGAAGAATGGGCTGCAGCGTCCCTCTTGAAACATCTCCAAAGCCTAACTGCGGTTTCTAAACCGACTGCCAAGTCCAAACCCCCCAAAAGGGAGGCTTATGTCAGCAGTGGATAGTTGAAGGTTGGTATGATGATGATGGTGATTTGTCATCTTACTTTATTTGTACTGTCACCAAGTAGTATTTTTTTTTTCAATTATTACGAATATATTTCAATCAAGAATGTAATAGACTGTACAACATGACAGGATATATTTTACTTGGATATTTCAGTTAAGTCTTAGGAAAAAAAACAAACTCTTCTATAACCTAAAATATTTGCTAGTAATGCATTCAATCATCAAATATTATTAAGGTATTATGCCTCTTGTGCCAGTAATGCCTTCAGATCGAAATACAAAACATACATGTTAGTGCTCCATGGTAGAATGAAGAAAACACTGAAAATCACATTTCTAGCCATTTAATTGAATACATTTCAAAGTAGATCGTTTACCAGTTAACGAAGGAAGTCACACCAAGTTTGGCAATGGGAGAGACATAAGGTGCAGCGATGCCCGCAGAGTAAACTGAAGCAGCAGGAGCGAGCACTGGTCCTTGGGAGAACGCAACAGGGCTAATAACTGGAGCGCTGAGGAGAGGTGCGGATCGCTTCTTCAGGAGGTGCAGTCCATTGAACGCTTTAGCAGTGAAGTGAGCGGAGCGATCCAGGTTAACGTCCAAAGTGTCCAAAGGCCTGCCATCAGCGGCCAGAATATTAGCTGGCTGACCAGGTGCGAGGGATAACGGCCCTCGGTAGTTAGACGGCAGGATAGGTACACTGTAGGCTAGTGGAGCTAATAATCCACCTGAAGCGGCAGCAACAGCGCAGGTTAAAATAACTAACTTGAACATTTTGTAGTCTGTATTATTTAGAAAATACTGATGCTTTCGATGCCTGCAAGTAGCTTTTATACTTGCATCAGTTAGGTGTTGCCGGAAGACGATTGACCGTGAAAGGACTACTTTTGCGCAAGGAACGGGCTCCCTTTGTTTGGTACTAAGATTTCTTGTTGACATTTTTAATTGTAAGCGTGACTGCACGAGTATAAATGCAATCAATATATTTAATTTTATGCATACCTACCGTTATGGTCGCGCTCGACATTCCGGTTATTCAACTGGTTTTATTATGTAACTATAATATAAATATTCTTTTTTTTTTATTTTATAAACTTGGAACATTATTCGAAATCTATTATCAATTCTTATATTCTTTAATCTTATTATTATTAAGACAGTTTGCGTGTTGATATGCTTTGATATGTTACTGAATCATGTTCAAATAGTTGAACGAGTTTGAATAAAATGATTGACTCTCAATTGTAAAGTGTTTCTTGAAGTTGTCTCTTAAATTTAATTTTAATCTCGGATATAGTAACAGAGAAAACTGTTTTAGTATCGACTCACTGTCTATAAGTAATGTTACATATATTTTTATTTTTCTGGAAATTCACATTGGACAAGATATAACAAGTTCTGCCACGACGAAGTGTGAGGTTGCTTTCTGTTATTGTAATCGATATATTACACAAAAAATATATTAAAACTATTTAACTAACCTAAGTAAATAGTTACATTATTTTAACTTATTTTACATCAAATATTTATGAGACTAAGTAATAACTATTATTAATTTTAATGTACCTAGTTTATTTTCATTTAAAAACTCAATGATCAATTAAAAACTTTAAAGCTGGATTTGTTAATGTTTCTAAATTAATATTATATTATGTAACGTTAAAAGATGTTATTATGACAGTTTTATATTGTAATAAAACTTGTAAAACCATGTTTGAAAAAAATACGAAGTCTGCGAGATTTGACCAGAATTTGATTTCAATATACGAGGAGGTAACCAATCAAGCTCTGTGTGTACAAGTAAATAAAAAAGTATGACAAACTGGTTTGAAGTGTACCTAAGTGACAATATATCAGTGAACGTATTTATTTACTTATGTTACACTTTATTGCACCATTTATAGAATAGTAAATACATTTTTTTTATACAACTTAAAATGGTAAACAAGCTGACGGTCCACCTGATGGAAAGTGGTAACCGTCGCTTATAGACATGAGCAGTACTGTGGACATAACAGAGTATACTGTTTCGCCCATGATACCCCCCATGCGTTGCGAATGGGACAGAGGTACCCAAGCAATCGACTTTTATACAAAGTCTCCCTCTGGTCCGGTACATTTAATTATAACGTGAACGTATATTTTATTAACACAGGGACAAACAAGCACACTGAATTAATTATCACTGTTATTTGAAAACTGTTGTCACTTTTCATTAGGCGAACCTCGTTTTTCATTCCAAGATCTACAACTACAAAAGACCAAAATCCAACGCATTTAATAACTTTCACTAAGGAAAACGGTTCGAAATATGAAATAACTTAATTTTTGTCACTTTTATACTAAACCGTTTACATAATCACGCAATTTGTATAAAGAACACTTTTTTGCATTCCGACCTTTGATCTTCTGATAACATTAATAACACGAAATACAAATGTAAAGAATATTCATATTCAATAAACAATGTCACATAATATTTGTGTGATCAAACCAAACTCAATATTATAATAAAATTTCTCAGTCAAATGAATCATAGTACAATCTTTTTAAAATTACTATCAGTAATAAAACCTTTTTTATGAACCTAATGTAATATGATTGTGGAATCATAAAGAATTCTTTCACATATCTAAAAACCTTGCGATCTACGATACTTACCATCTCCTACACGGCTTATTTAATAAACAATATTCTATACATAAATGTACAATCTTTTCATACTTGGTACGTTTAACAGATATTTCATAGCTGTAATAACAATTTTCTTAACTCGTTTATGTTCTTTGAATGTGCTATTACGCTCGAAAGAGAAAAGATCCGACTATTTTGTTTCATATTAAAGAAAACAATGATTTTAGTCGTTATTAAAAAATAAAATATAACCGAAACAGGAGCAAACTCTATCGACTTAGAATTTAAAATTTATGTGCGCACGCACACACGCATACATGCATGCGTGTGTGCATGCGTGTATGCGTACATGCTTGTTTGTTAGTATTCCTATATAAATGAATTTCTTAAAAAATAACAATTACTGTAAATTAAAAGAGGATGAAATCAGGTCAGTTAGCCCTTCCTGACAAATTCAACTAGAATAAATACGATGGTTTCCAGGAGGATCCACGTGGAGGTCGACTTGACAGGGTATATTGTAATGGAATTATTTAACCGCATTACTAACAATCCCTTTCCTACCTGTGTGATATGTTAGGCACAGACATATCTATTTGTATTTTATATACGATATTTTGGAAGCAATAATTACAATACTATAGAATCGGGGGGAAAGAATTGTTAGCAATGGAGTTTGATAGCCCCATTGCTAGCAATATGCCCTATCAGGCAACCTCTGCGTGGTTGCCCCCGGAAACCATCGTGAACAATTCTCGTTGAATTCGTCACGATGGACTAACTGACCTACTTCATCTCCTCACCTATCATCCTTCACTGGTGCCCCGCCGGTATATACCGATATCGCGGGTGGGGTTACCATTCCATTATCATCCATTAAAAAAAATACTATAGAATCCAAGCGCATAACATATATAGATACATTACATACAATAATTTTATTGTATATAGTAGTAACTACATTAATGCTGATCGGTATACTAGTATATTTTACACGTATAATTTATTTATAAATTTATATATTTTTCCATTATTACACGAGTTTTTTTATATTTCCGTTTGCCTATCTAAGGTCATAGAGTATGTGAAATATAACGTATTATCAAAACTTTTATTAGTAGATAACTTTGGTGAAATCGAGGATTGCAAGTCATTCGTTTTAGTAATTTAGTAACCACGGTGAAATAAAAATTCTATATAATGACTCTTTAATTACTTCTTATTATTTATTTAACTCTTTATTGCACCATAAATAAAAATATACAATGACAAGTGAATAATTCAAGTGAAATACAGTAACATAAATACAGATTGAAATACACATAAAAGTACAAAAGGCGGTCTTATCGCTAGGGCAATCTCTTACAGACAACCTTTAGTTAAAGGAGAACAGATAGAAAAGGGCAGGTGGCGAAAGAGTGAATTAATAATATTTCGTACATAAAATACAAAAACATGTTATGCACAAAAATATCAAATACATATAATTTATTAAACTATTTATTATAACAATATTATTATTATGTAATCTACCTCTTCATTTCATTTAAGTGTTTCCTCTCGTCGAGACAACAATATCATGCATTAAATTTTTCAAATCGGTTTACAACTGACGAAGTTAAACAAACATAAGAAAAATATACAACCGCATTGAGAACGTTCTTATTTATGAAATCGATAAAAAGTGTAGTTCGCTTACTCGCTTGGATTTTCATGGTCGACGAACACACTGAAAAACGTGTATTTATTCGAATATGTAAATTAATAACTCAACAATAGAATGCAATGCGCCAGATTTCCAAGTTTCGTTTTTGTTTAAATAAAAAAAAAACTCAATAAACAAAGTACAAATACTTAAACCAATTAATAAACAAAATGAAATAAATATAATAATTTCACATTTAGCAATTGTGATTGAAGAAAAATGATACATATTTATAGATAGGTAGATACGTTTTCACTTTTATAATTCAACGGGTACGAGTATCTCGTAAATGAGGCTTTAATTAGCGTAGGTTGTAATGTCTTTGTCAGTCACCTAATAACGTTATTATAAGTGTCCGACGGAGACGGTGGGAGGCTGTTATGAAACTTACACTTAACGGTTTCATCTAAAAAAAAATGCCATTATACCTACGTACTCGAATAAGTATTTTATATAAGCATTTAAGGGTCGGCAAAGCGCACGTGAAACCCTTAGTGTCGCAGACGTCCATAGGCTAAAGTATCCGTTTACCATCAGACAGGCTGTTTGTCACTTTCGTGGTATAAAAAATATATAGTTAATTTTATTTTATGCGATTAATATTAACGATTGAAACTATAGACGATCTATGAGAAGACGTATTGCATCATACCTTGATATTATTATTTAAGAAGACCGTTTTTCATTTCGAAATTCAAACATATAGAATGCACTAATTAAACGGCGTAAACAAATTTAAGTCTACTTGAACGAAGTCACGTTTATTACTGACAATAAAAAATCTTATTTATCAATATGCCATATCGGGTCTAACTCGTAACACATATCATAATGGTAAATAATATGCGTGATATTATACATTTGTGACCACGACTAGTGCAGCATTTTGTTCGCATTTTCGACATTAGGCAACGAAAAATACTATTTCTAGGTGTCGTATCAAGATTCATTTTTATTTTCAGAACACAATTTCGTCAATTTTGTTAGTTAAAAATTTCTTACAAATTATGCTAGTAAAACGAAAACTTCAAATATATATTAGAATTATAAAATATAAATCGGTGAGAAATGATAGGTGAGAACGAAGGCAGATCAGTTGGCCCATCGTAATGAATTCTTCAAAAATTAACCACGATAATTTTCACGACGGAAAAAATTACAAAAGGAATCTCTGAAAATTCTTCCAACATCTTTTCCTAACTTAATAGATTTGAGAGAAAAGATTCTCCCAAATGTATTCGTAGATATTCTATGTAAAAATAAAGATGCAGGTATCTCATAATTCAATCGATTCTTATACTCGTAGCATAATACTCTTTTACGTTGTGCTTAACACACTTATCTATGAAAAATTTTAAGGTATTTTTCGTGATGAAGTTACAACATAACTAAATAAGACCTTTTTTCTCTTGGTATGTATAGGCGAGGGTTAAGACTTTCCATCAGATGATCAATCACTTAGCTATTGCAAATTGTAT